TTTCACTGGTCTTCGACCTACATGGTCAGGGAAAGTCCCGGTTCGTAGGCCTACAACACGGTCAGCGTGTTCTTGAGCGCCGTAACAACACAAGTGTGATCACTTCCAGACCAACGGGCGTTCAAGGCGAGTAACAAGCGCACTTGACAAAGGTGACTCTGAAATCTCGTGAGCCGTGGGCCACGCGACTTGGCATTCTTGCGTCACAAGGCACGTGATTTCACCGTGCATCTTGCAATAAAATTCAAAAACTGCGCTCAGGCCTTCAGTCACTTTTGCAGCAACAGTCGCACAAAAAATTATTGGTGGCCAAGGAGAAGCTTGTCGTTTGGAGTGACAAGTGATCACCGCTGCTTTTCCTTGTCAGAGTCAACACTACACTTTGTTCTGCGGCCTTGGGAGTAGTGTTGGAGTAGAAATTGCTGAGGAGACGTCGCGGAGTGGCGAGCTTTCCTGCGCAGGTATGACTTTGGCCGTATTTCAGCATGGTCGAGTGGAAAAATTCAAAAAAGTTTATTTCAAGAAAACCCCTAAAGGAAGATGGGGGACATGTCCTCAGCGCTAGAAGAGGTGTTCTACTATCTGCCGGTGTATAGTTCTGGCCAATTGAGGACGTAGCTGGCTGTTTTGCCAGCGCTTGTAAATTGGCTATTTTCAAGACGATCATTTGTGGCGTCAGGGTGTGATGGACCTCGTCTTCTGGGATCCTGGCGTGGCTAAGCGGTACTGCTCCAGGAACTCTTCTAAGGTGAGGCAATGTTGGCTTGATGGAGTTTTGTTCATAGCTTGTTCGTATACGCTGTGGCGTGACTCGTTTCTAGACCCATAAATAATGTGATATATTTCGGCCATTTTTGAGGGTATGCAAATTTCAAGGTTCCCTTCAGAAACTTTTTCAAGGGCTTTGCATAATCGATCCACACCCCAAAGGGAACCTACCTGCAAATTTTGAGCGAAATCGGAGAGATCCACTTGCACACATACTTTGGTATTCTCAGACATGCTCTCTTAAGGAATTGCATAGTCGCAGAAGAAGGAACATCTTCCTGGTCGCTCTAGTCATGATGTAGTCAACATGCGAGTTCCAGCATAGATTCTGCTGTATGAGGAGGCCAAGGTGGCGATGCCTTAAGGCCACAGTGAGATTGGTATCGTTGAGTGGGATTGACGGTGGTCTAGGAGGTGGCCGGTTGGTGTGGTGAAAGTGGACGACTGTGGTCTTACTTTCGTTGACCAGGAAATTCCAAACCTTCAGCCACTGTGCCGCAGTTGTCACAGCTGACTGGAGGCGCTCTTCTGCGGCTAGAAATTTTCTCGTGAGCGGCAATGATGGCAGTGTCGTCGGCAAGCTGGTTGCACTCAGTGTTGGCATTTATGCAGGCGGTTGGCAGATCGACTGTGTAGGCCGTGAACAAAAGTGGCCCCAAGACAGATCCTTGGGGGACCCCCGCTGAAATGTTCAGCCAGGTTGAACTGCTGCTCTTCACTTCCACACATTGTCATCATGTTGGTGAGATAAGAGGCAAGCCACTGGAGGCATTTGCCATCGAGTCCGAGGTGGGCCAATTTTCCAAGCAGTCCTTGGTACCACACCCGGTAAAACGCCTTAGATAGGTCGAAGAAGCAAGGAATTACTGTTTGCCCAGCGTCTCTTTTCTCGGTGATCTGATGGATTACCCGAGATAGCTGCTGGGTGATGCCATCGTTTGGCGGAAAGCCTGATTGGCCATTGGGGAGGTGAGGTTGGATGTGCTTCGAGATGCGGTCAGCAACTATCCTCTTTTGCACTTTTGACGTCATGCTGAGCAGCGATATCGGTCGGAGGGCTCGGTTCTGCTGCCTTTCTTGTGGATGCGGGTGACTGTTGCGTCCCTCCACTCTTGCGGGATAGTGCAACGTTCGAAGGAGATGTTTAAAGGGTTGCTAGGGATGGCGCAAGTGAACTGGCTACCTCTTTCAGTAGGCGAGTTGGTATGCCATCACAGCCCGAGCTCTTTGACGGGTCCAGGTTAAACAGTGGCTTTGAGACCTCTTGGGCTGTTGTTTCGAGTGTAGTGAGGTCAGGTGTATTGGGTATGGGGAAATGAATGGAGGGGAGTTCCTCGTGACACCCTGTGACTGACTGTTGGCTCTGCGAGATGAAGAAAGCGTTTTTCAGCGGGGGTTGAGAGAGTCTGGCCCTGGGAGAACGTGTCTGGCAGAGTAGGTCGTTTTGAGGACTGGAGGCTGCGCATCAGTTTGTGTAGGTTTGGTGTGGAGTGGCTCGTCCCAGTGCCATTACTGACATATGTAGACTTAGTGATTCGGAGAAGGTGAGTAACTTTGTTGCGTTGGATGGTGTATGCTGTCCAGTTGCAGGGCGCCCGGGTGCGCAAGTAGGCACGATAGAGCCAGTGTTTTTCCCTGATGGAGTTAGTGAGCTCTGGGTTCAGCCATGGCTTTGCTGGGTGGCTAGCATGCCTCGGGGAGTGAGGTACTGCACAGTGTTTGCAGGCGCAAGTGAGCACTTTGTGCTTCCATGAGTGCCACAGGTTGTCTATGTTGGTAGTGTTCAGGGTGTCACCTTCCGGTAGCAGTTGTGTGCGTTCAATTTCGGCTTTCAAACTGCTGATGCTTTGGTCTGACCATTTCCAATGGGTGGTGTTATGGTTGGGAGGTGGTACGGCTCGAGGGGGTGCAGCGACTGGCTTGATTAAACCCCTGATGGATAGGTGGTCCGAGTTGCCAATCTGCGGGAGACCAGAGATAAGGACATAGTCGCTGTCAACATCCATGACGGCGAGACCTAGGCAGGATTTAAGGTGCCCATTCTGCACAAGAGTGGGGAATGTGACATGTTGGTGTAGAGAGTAAGTTTGGAACCGCACTGCTAGATCCTCGCCAACAGCATCTGTCGTGTCAGAGTGGCACCAAGCAGCGTTCTTTGCATTGAAATCAGTGAGGATAATCTTTTGCGTTGTTGCTGGTATGGCTCGGATCAGTTCCTCAAGGTGCTGGCAGAATAGACGATGGTCGCAACGGGGTGGCCGGTAGGCACATGTTGCGTTAATGGTGCGGTCGTTGGCTGACAGTTTCAGCGATAGTAGGTCAAAGCTGTCTGGGGTTGTTGTAGGAAAGAGTTTATGAGGTATAGGTCGTTCACGTAGAGACTCACTCCTCCACCTTGGAGGTCTGGACGGTCTGCACGATGTAGTGTGTAACCACTGAGGGCAAACAGGGAGTCTGGGTCGTGCTGGGTACACCATGTTTCAGAGACAGCAATGACATCATAAGGTGCCGTTGTTGACGATACTATTGCTGACAGGTCATCCATTTTGGGGAAGAGACTGCGAGCATTGAGGGAAAGAAAGGAGATGCTTTTTTGTACATTTCCGTTTTTCTTTTTTTTTTCACTGGTGGTGGTTGATGCTGGTTCCAGTTCAGGCGTGGTCCATGATGACTCCTGTAGGAATCTGGTCAGCTAGTTTATTTAGTTTTTTTGTGTTTTTAGAGGCATATGGCTGTTGTGCGTCTGGGGGCGTCTGCTCTAGCTGGTGGCGTCTGCGTGTGCGACGTCTGGTGTAGAGTTTCCATTCTTCCTCTGCTGCATTCAGCTTCTGCAGGAGTTGTTTGGCGCGATTTCCATCTTCCTCAAGTAGGCTCTCGTCGTTTCTGTCGTCTTCCGCTGGCGTGCGAGGTGAGCCTGGTGAGTGGCAATACATGCTCATACTGGTTGATAGTGCACAGACTGCTCTCTCGTCGGCTCGATCGATATCTGTGCTAGTTCTACGAGTACGAGTTTGGTGCTCATCGGAGGCACTGGCAGTGTGTCCGTGCAGGTCTGCACTTTTGCTGGGCTGGATGTGTTCAGTGACTTCCTGTTGGAGTGAGCTGGCAGGGGTCACAGGGGATGCTACATGTGCGTACAGTAAGCTGGCCTGGCTTTTGGAGGCTGTCGGATCTGGTGCTGGATCGACTCCACCCTACGCCAAAAGTTCGGACCTGTTTGTTTTGTTTTCGGTTGTAGGTCTGTCTCTTCGATAACAGTCGTATCCTGGGAGAGAGAAAATTTGAGCTCCGTGCAGCCATGTCTCAGTAATAGAAACGAACAGCGGGTCCCACGTCGAGCAGAAGTCAGTTATTATTGCTGGAGCGCGCGATTCAATATGAACTCGTACGTATCTTATTCGGGGTCCTTGGGACTGTGCACCGCCCGTATCTCAGATTTGCCCGTATATCAGAACAGCTTGTCTACCATCTATTATACCAGTTTTGAAGCAGGTTTTTTGGCACGTATTACGCATGTTCAGGATAAAAAATAGTGAATTGATGAAATATAGCTCGGATGGTGAGCCAATTAAATAAAAAAATTGAAAATTGAAGTTTTGGAACTAGATGTCAGGTCGACGAACGTCTCAGTACTCCTTATCAGTGTTGTGCCATTTTGTCGCACTCGCTGACTGTATAAGATCTGGTTACTTTGGTGGACAGTTAGTCATAATTTGTAACATTTTGTCCTTCTTCTTTTCACCATGAATTGATTAAAACGTGTTTTCACTCACAAAGCAACTGTTGAGTGCATGGGATAGTGGTCAAGCTAAAGGTGCTCGGTAGAGAGGCGTGCCAGTATCCGAGGCGTCCGGATAGGAGACAATTGAGTGCACTCATTGATATTAATATTTGCAACTATTGCACCCTTTCCGCAGTCTTAGTAAACTGCGTTGCAACCATTCATGCATGATTGCACTCATACCAAACACCCACGCATGACGTTTCTGCTGCGAACGTCACTTTTGGGTCACGTAATGTTTGGCCATATCCCATCATTAGTTTGAACCAGTAACCTGATACTGAGCTATGCCTGAATTTTTGGTGAATCAAAAGCGGTGTTCGCAGCAGGGAGACCTTTTTGTGTGAGTGTATGGAGGGAATAGAGTGGTATTGTTACCTCATTGGTTACGCAAGTTTTCGAATGGGAAATTCATTTTGATGTATTTTCATTTTTTTTAAGTTGCGCTTACCTTCTCCTGCTCCTCTGGGTACTTGCTCTCAAGATGGCGGATAATTGCCCTTAAGTTAGGTATAGGTTTTTCCCACGAATTCCTTGCTAATGCATAGTCCAGGCATGTCATGTTGCCCTGGTAGAATGAAAAATGGTAAAACCACAAGAAAGTGAAAGGCCTCTTAGTAAACATTGCATATAGCTATGTAAACGAGAAAAGCAGTCGATTTTGAATACTTTGAAGATTCAAGAAAGTAATGACTTTTCTAATGCCCATGCTGAGAATTATCACAACTCCCATTAACACATTATAATAGTGGAGCCAAACTATGTCTTGTGATCAGAAAATTGTACTAATTCTTCAGTGCATACTTCAAGTATGGTATTGGTCAGAGAAAATAATGTAATTCGTCATTGGTTGATTCGCGTTTTTGAGTTGCAGTAAGACCAATCTGTCAAATGGTCTTACCTATCTCCTGATCATTCTGTAGCTTTCGACATTCTTTCCTCCCGAATGATATACCTCGTGCACACCTTTGTTGCATTATCTTCCCCTCATTTGACATTTCTGCACGTAAAGCTTCCATGTGATACAAGAAAGTTGTTGTTTTTCAATTCGTAGATTTGTTGGCGCTAGGTGTCAGGTCGTTGAATGTCTCAGTACCTCTGTTAGTTTTGCGTCTTGTTGTCGCACTGTCTGACTGTTTTTCTCCCTTTACATTGGTGGATCATTGTCAAAACTCGTAACATTTTGCCCCTTGCTCCCAGTTTGACCCTTACTCCCATTTTGACCCTTACTCCCAATTTGACCCTCACTCCCATTTTGACTCTTACTCCCATTTTGACCCTTACTCCCATTTTGAACCTTACTCCCATTTTGACCCTTACTACCATTTTGACCCTTACTCCCATTTTGACCCTTACTCCCATTTTGGCCCTTAGGGTCGGTCCAGACTAGGTAATAAAAATGGCGTGCCGTGCAGTCAACGTACGTAAATGTACGTGACGTACACGCGGCGCTCTGTCCACACTACAATCAGGTGCACTCGCAAAAGCTGTCGTGGAGCACGTGCACCCGTGTAGTTGCACTGCAGACGCTCCGCTTCATGTAACACTATAGTGGCCCTTTCGTTTTCTCTGCAAACCCGCTAGAAATACCAGCATTTTTTAACGCCAAACACCATTATAACCACTGCCCTGGATAACCCCTGTGCCACTGCCTGCCTTCATTGGCCTTGTTTTCTCTGCAAGTAAAGAGTGGTTTGCAAGTTTTTTCTCTCTCTCTCTTTGTTTGTGACTTTGACGTGTCTTTTCCTTTTGTGATTCAGTTTCTCCTAGCGTAGCTTTCACGATGATGGCCCCCTCGGATTTTATTTCGTTGTTGGCTCACCCTGAGGTGCGTTTGGCTTTAAAAGCTGCATCCGTCCCCACCGGCGAGATACAAAATGGTCCCTCCGCCCCAAACAGCGGAATACAAGTCGGTCCCTCCGCCCTACCAGCGGAATACAAAATGGTCCATCCGCCTCCGCCAGCAGCATACAAAATGGTCCACCTGCTCACTCCGGCCATATACAAACAGGTCCTTTTCGCCACTGCCGGCGGCTCAGAAATTGGCACACGGCAGACACCACCTCCAAGACCCTCAAGGGTAGATTCACACAGGGTTGCCACTGAGAGCCCCCGGGCCTCAGATGACGAATCTATGGGATACCATGGCCATGCACGTTTTGCTAGGGACAAATCCCCAGGTTTGCACGTCCTTGTTTCCGACAATGAGTTGGGCCACGGTCGTTCCCGTTCTCGATCGCCATTTTCCCATCAAGAACACCATCGGGGACTCGAAAAGGCCAGTCCGCTAGCAGGCAGTCCGCACATGCACCCTCAACGGGATTTCCGCATAGGGTCCCGCTAACCGGGACTGGGGATCGATCTCAACGACGACATCGTCGTTCGTCGAGTGAGTCCGGATCGGGACCCGGCGATGTCGTCCCCTCCCGGGCCTTGGTCGAGGGAGCTAGGCGGAGAGTCCACTCTCCTGGTCGTCGACGCTCGCAGTGCAGACGCTCCCGGTCCTCATCCACGGACTCCGGATCTAGTAGTGGGTCGTGCTCTTTGTGCGAGGTTTTCTCCTCTAGTTGAACGGCCTCCTCACCTGACCGTGATCACGAGGATGAGGTCTTTGACCCGTCGCGCTTAGTTGCAAAGGACTCTTGGCGTCCACCAGCGGATATTGAGGCTTTCGTCCGTGCTAATGCCCAGCGGTCTCTCATCTCCAAGCAGAAGGCAGAATTGAAAAAATCTCTGCCCATTTCCGGAGGTGAAGGAGGCCCAGGGTCCTCGCCTGGATAATTTTGTACGCGGCCTCCCGTCGCTGGGCTTTGGCCGAAAGACTGATATAGCCATGGCGGCAGTCCAAGCTCGGGTGTGTGCTGCGTTTGTGCCCGTTTCGGCATCTTGGGCCGCAGTGGATGCTGGGCGACCAGCCAAGGAGATCACGCAGCTCCTGCAGGTCGCAGTGTCTTTTGTGGGTGATAATGCTAATAGCATCTCGGTCATGCGGCTGCAAAGACTGACGGGGCAGCTCTCGAACAAGTGCTCATCCAGCCTCCTCCGGGAAATGGCCCCGTCTGGGAACTTGCTGTTCGGCGAGGACTTTACCAGCCAATACAAGAAGCGGACTCAAGGAATTGACGCTTACAAGGATAGTCGGCCTTCCAACTTCAGGGGCCATACTTATTACCCAGCAAGCGCTGGTGGGCGTCGTGGGGCCACCGTTCATTTCCCCGCCATGACAATCATAGGCAAGAGGGTCATTCTTCCGCCACTGCCGGTTCAAAAAGGGCGTGGAGGCAATCAGCCCTTTCGGGGGCGCGGTCAGGGTCATTGATGACCCTGCCGGTGGATGGTTCGCGCTCCCAGCTCAACCTACATCTTTGCGGCCATCCAACTCCACCCCACAACGAGCTGGCACGCGCTCCGCTCGTGCCCCCGCTCCCCCAAATTCCGGTCGCTGGGCGTTTGAGGCATTTTGTGCAAGCCTGGTCGGCAATCACGTCAGACCCGTGGGTCTTGGATGCGGTGCGGGGCCTGAAGCTGGATCTCGTGGCCGATCCCGCACAAAGCACGGAGCCCAGAGAATTATCTCTGGAGGAGGACAGAGCGCTTGCTGTGCGGCTCAAAGTGGACGGATTGGTGCTGAAAGGGGCCGTTACTCGAGTGCAGGAGCGTCCTCATCAATTCGTCAGCCAGATTTTCACCATTCCAAAGAAAGCATCCGGCAAGGAACGCCCCGTGGAGAATTTGAAGGCGTTGAACGGGTTCGTTCGCTACGAGCACTACAAGATGGAAGGATTGAAGCTCCTGCCCGATCTCCTTCAGCCCAACGACTGGCTGGTCAAACTGGATCTGAAGGATGCTTATTTCGTGGTGCCAATCCACCACGATTTCAAGAGACTGCTCTGATTTCCATGGTCAGGTCAGCTGTTCCAATTTCAGTGCTTGCCTTTCGGCCTGAGCAGCGCGCCAAGGGTGTTCACCAAGCTCATGAAGGTTCCGACGTCAATTCTGCGCAGCCAAGGTGTGCGCCTGATTATCCATCTGAAGGACCTGCTGATTATTGTAACAGATTCACTGTTACTACTAACACTAGGAATAGGATACACTTATCACCTGCTATTATCACGCTGCTGCTGTTAGGTGTTATGTCCATCATTGCTTGTTCATGTATATCAGAATGCATTATGGCAAGGATCATTGCTTATTCCAAGAATGACTACTGAAGTTAGTTGGACTGTTACACTGGTAGCAAGAGGATGGTTTTTCTTTTCGTCATGTTCGGGCTATGCGCAGTGGCCGCATTAGTCGCCTACGGTATATTCGAGATTCAGAAGCGTCTGAATCACCTTATCGCACTCGGTCAGTGCGATGGATCAGATCAAACGCCAAGACGTGCTCAAGCTCCCAGCGGAGAGAGGCCACGCATGCGCCATGTTAAGTCTCCGCCTGTGTTTCGTGGAGATACACGAGAGTTCAAGGAGTGGGCCTTCGCCATCGAACTCGCCATGAAGTCCCTGCAGCTGGACAACGCGGAGGAGCGCTTGAGCTACGCGGCGAGTTTTCTGGAGCGCAACGCTCGTCTTTGGTTTATCGCCTCTGAGGAGGCAAACACGCTGTTTTCCGACTGGCCAGACCTGAAGAGCAAGCTGGGAGAAGTGTACGGCCCGGTTTATGACAGGGAACAGGCGCGCATCGACTTATTTGCTCTTCACCAAGATGAGACACTTGACGAATACATCAACAAATTTTCGCGGCTTAGCTTACAAGTTCCCGAGCTTGATGACCACTCCAGAGCTATCTTGTTCACGCGTGGGCTGGCTCAGGGCCTAAGCGGTGAGGTACTTAGGGAGCATCCGCAACATTTGGCCCAAGCCATACGAGCTGCGGTCTCAGCAGACCAGTCGATGCGGCTAGCCCAAGCAAGCTACGCCAAGGCAGTGCGCGCACCAGGGCATCAGAGGCGCCAGCCCGGACCCTGGTCAAGCCAACCAACACCATCCGGTGGGAGAGAAACCAGGGAGCAGAGGGTCGTTCAAGGCTGTTTTTCACCTGCAGGAAACCCGGCCATATTGCCAGATTCTGTCCAGAAGGAGGGAGGAACGCCACAAGCAAGCCTTCTTTAAACGATGGACGCCAGTAAGGAAGGGAGTGCGACTACTGGCGAACACGAGAGCACCCAGGAATAGGTCACGAATCAAAGTTCAGAACAAATTCAGCCCCTTAGCAAATGAGGAACCACGCCTCGAGGAGACCGAAATTGAAGCCTCGCCTGTCAAGCATTCGTCACCTGATACTGTTGGCCGGCCTAATGAAGTAACCGCCAGCACAGGGAGCATTTCCGCCGACAACGAACACGACCTAATGCGCGTCCAGGGCAAGATAAATGGACGTCGCGTTACCATGCTACTGGATTCTGGGTCAACCCACGACTTCATTTCAACTGACCTTGTCAAGAAGCACAACATCTCCACAACAACCGGTAGCGACGTCCTGAACGTCACACTTGCTGATGGATCGGTCCGCTCACAGCCTATTACGAAAACGGACAGCTTGAAGACCGTAGTCGGCGACTTTAGCGAGCACCAACAGTTCCTAGTATTCCCTATGACGCGGTATGACGTCATCCTCGGCAAACCATGGCTGACCCGGACAAACCCACAGATCAATTTTCGTACCAATGAAATCAAGCTGGAGGGTGGATCCATCATCTGTCAACCGAGTGAAAGTGATGGCACGGACAAATCCAACCCACCGATCGAGACGTTCCTCATCTCAGGGAAGCAGGCTAGGCATGCAATGAGAGGTGGCGCAGAAGGAATCCTAGCGTATGTGACAGCAGATCCGGACGAGCCACAGACGGTGGATAGTCCGGGTAGGGAGGATCAGAAGGATTTCAAGGACCTGCTGAAGGAGTTCGGGGACGTCTTTCTCGATGAGCTTCCAAACAAGCTGCCACCCAGAAGAGGCGCAGATCACGAGATAAAAACGGAAGAAGGAGCTAAACCGCCATCTCGTGCAGCATATCGTTTACCAAAACCAGAGATGGATGAGCTTCAAGCTCAGCTCACCGAGCTGCTCCGTAGAGGATTCATCCAGCCCAGCAAATCCCCATACGGAGCCCCTGTGTTCTTCGTAAAGAAAGCGGATGGAACACTTCGAATGGTATGCGACTGGCGTGAGCTAAACCGCATAACCATTAAGAACAAGGCATGCCTACCGAATATTGACGACCTCTTTGATACCGTCCAAGGCAGTGCGTATTTCACCAAGCTAGATCTGAGGTCCGGTTACAATCAGATTCGAATAGAAGAAACAGATATTCCGAAGACAGCAATAAATACCCCATTCGGTCACTTTCAGTTCACAGTGATGGGTTTCGGCCTAACAAATGCCCCGGCAACATTCCAAACCTTGATGAACAGTGTCCTCCAGCCATACCTGCGTAAATTCGTTGTGGTGTTTCTAGACGATATCCTCATATTCAGCAAATCATGGGAGGAGCACCTCGATCATGTCAGAACCATCTTAAACGCCCTCAGGAGCAATGAGCTATATTGCAAACCGTCTAAATGTGAATTCGGCCGGACAGACGTTCTGTTTCTTGGGCTCCGGATAGACGGCCAATGCATTTCTCCAGATCCAGAGAAGATCAAGGCCGTGCATAACTGGCCTGTCCCGACGACGGTCACGCACGTAAGACAGTTTCTGGTCGAGATACGCGATTCACGTCGGCGTTCTTCAAGGAGGTTTTCAGTATTCTTGGCGTGGAGCTAAAAATGAGCACGGCCAACCACCCGCAGACCGATGGCATGACTGAGCGTGTGAACCGTGTCATTGAGGATACGCTAAGAGCTTTCGTCAACCATAGGCAAAACAATTGGGATGAACTCCTATCGCTATGTGAGTTTGCGATCAACAATGCCGATCAAGCGTCAACAGGTAACACGCCATTTTTCCTCAACCATGGATGCCATCCAGTTACTCCCTCGAGGTTATTGACGAAGCAGAAAGCTGGAGCTGGCATGGACACGAATGGTCCGCTGTCATGGCTGGATGGCCGCGTAGAGGCACAACGTGAGGCACAGGATGCCATTGTGGCGGCGCAGGCCCGGCAATCATTGTATGCGGATCGAGGACGGGTGGAGGACGCCCTGAAGGAGGGGGATGAGGTGTTGGTCTTCAGGGACTTCCTGCTGACGCCCGAGGAACGAGACAGGCCTTCACACAAATTAAGGCTCAAGTGGTATGGGCCGTTCAAGGTGCAGAAGAAAGTGGCCCCGAATGCGTACAGATTAGCTCTTCCAAGAATCATTCGGGCCCATCCAGTGTTCAATATTGCTGCCCTCAAGCTGTAGAGGGGACGGCTCGATACCGGGACGTTTTGACAGCCAAATTTGTATAGACCCAAACCGATCATCAGCGTTGATTTTTCACTCGAAATATGTTTGTGGAAGGAAACTGGCATGTTGAAGTTTGCTCTGGGGCCAGAGTCAATCGAACTGAGCCACTCCTTTGTGTTGACCCATTGCCTCCAAGTTGCCCAATTTTTCGCTTCAAAAAAGTTCAAATCAGAGGTGGCTCCAAACCGGACACGTTTTAGAGTGCACGTCAAATTCACTCTGGGGCTGAAATTAGGTAATTGCTATCGCTCCACGACGGCCAGTACAGAGTAACAATACGCCTTGTGTGTGCTTCCATTAGTTTTGATTGGTATGTGGTGCTTTACTGGCGAGAGGCGAGCCGCTGTTTACCTGCGACAAGAAGTTGATTTTTCGAAAGTCGTAAAACTCAAGTCGCAGTGCGAAGCAACACGTCAAAAACTCACCTGCTTGATATGGCGCTTCTGGTCATCGCAGAGCCATGAAATTTTGGCTCGGAGTATAACACATCGTAGTCTCACTGTGACATATGTTTTCTAATCAGAATACCAAGAGAGAAAGTGAATATTGAGTCCGTTCCGGTTTGCAACCGGTGTCCTATTTGAAACCGTCCCCTCTACCATGGCAATGAGATACCGGGCCGTACTCAGCCGGCACCTCCACCCCTAACCGATGCGGATGGCCATACGCGGTACATTGTCGAAAAGGTGTTGTCGCACAAGAAGAGAGGACGGCGCACGCAGTACCTAGTGAAATGGAAGGGCTACCGAGATGCCACCTGGGAGCCGGAGGAATACTTGATGGATGAAGCAGGAAACGCTATTATTCCGCTGAAAACCTACCTGGACCGTTTTTCATAAATTGCTATTTAATTGGCAGCCACAGTTGCATTGCTAGTTTCTACGTATTGCAATAGAAATGTAGCATTCTGCATGATTAGGATAGTGCTTCCCTGCCAGCCAGGCGTTATTTGCAGAGGACATGCACTGGATCTTGAGTTCATCAGTGTTGTTTTCGGCTACCATGCATTCCACATATCCATGCATGATCATTAGTTACCATAACTGTTCCTTCGAATTGGTACTGTTCTGACAGTTGAGAGGGGGGAATGGTGTAACAGATTCACTGTTACTACTAACACTAGGAATAGGATACACTTATCACCTGCTATTATCACGCTGCTGCTGTTAGGTGTTATGTCCATCATTGCTTGTTCATGTATATAAGATTGCATTATGGCAAGGATCATTGCTTATTCCAAGAATGACTACTGAAGTTAGTTGGACTGTTACAATTATGGCATCGGCGGCGGCGGAAGCACTGGAGCACTTGCGCCGGGCAATTCAGTTGTTACATCAACTAGGATTTCTCATCAACTTCAAGAAGTTGGTGTTGACTCCTGCCCAGAGCATCTCATTCTTGGGTTTTCGTGCCATGGAGATGCGTGTGCCTCCGAAGAAGATCCGGAAGCTTCGCCAGGAGTGCACCAAGCTTCTGCTGCAGCCACGGGTGACTGTTCGCACGTTAGCCTGTCGGTTGGGGCGCTTGACATCCCTTTCTACGGGTCTGCTAACAGCGCCGCTCCGTTACCGGCATCAGTACGTGTCCTTCTCGATAGTGGTAGTCAACGGTCCTTCATCAGACGGAGTGTGGCACAGTCTCTCAACATGCCTGTGGAACATGGCAAAGTCATGCGGCTGTCAACTGTCGCTGCAAACAAGCCCACGGATGTACCGACAGAAGTTGTTTCTGCAAGCATTGCCATTGCTAACAACCAACAGGTGAAGATGTCTCTTCACACTCTACCCAAGGTCACTGACCCATTTGTCCGCAATGCGATTCCATCGGCTGACATATCTTTCCTGCAACTACTGTCATCTGGGTCCTTGGCCGACGTAGTACCAACGGAAGATACACAGGTTTCCATTGACATTCTTATTGGAGCAGACTACTTCTGGGACTTTGTTCACTCATCCCAGAACAAAGCCGTGTTGCCATCTGGACTGAACCTGATCCCATCTTGCTTCGGCTATCTCCTCACTACCAGCCATCTCACCGAGTCCGTTCAACCCTCTCCTCGACCAAAGTTAGTTGGACTGTTACAATTATGGCATCGGCGGCGGCGGAAGCACTGGAGCACTTGCGCCGGGCAATTCAGTTGTTACATCAACTAGGATTTCTCATCAACTTCAAGAAGTTGGTGTTGACTCCTGCCCAGAGCATCTCATTCTTGGGTTTTCGTGCCATGGAGATGCGTGTGCCTCCGAAGAAGATCCGGAAGCTTCGCCAGGAGTGCACCAAGCTTCTGCTGCAGCCACGGGTGACTGTTCGCACGTTAGCCTGTCGGTTGGGGCGCTTGACATCCCTTTCTACGGGTCTGCTAACAGCGCCGCTCCGTTACCGGCATCTGCAGGAGCTCAAGATCCTAGCTCTTCGCGAGACCCAGTCTTACGAGGTGACCGTCCAGTGGACATCTGATCTATGGGAGGAGAATTTCGATCAGGAGTGCCGCTCCATTACCAATGCTGTGGGTCTGTTAGAGCAGCAGGGCATCATAGGCCCTGGAAAAATCCCCACAAGAAATTACTGTAGCAGCGGATCGTCAAGCGAATTCTACTCCAGCTACAGAGGAAACAAGTGGGCGTGGCAGCAGCCCTACGTCATCACCTGGTCACCCATTGTCTGCCAGTTTCACCAGTAAATCGACAACACCCACAGATGTACCCATCACCACAACCGTAACCACACCAGGAGCAAGTCCTGTGTTATCCACCACACCGCCTGATACACCGACACCAGCAATCAGGCAAGCAGACTTTATTACTGCTGTGGCCGCCGCCGCCGCACAAGCAGCCACAGCTGCCACAGGAGTAAATTCACAAAACAACGTCCTCGTGAAATTGCCAGCCCTCCAACTCCAACACTTCCACAGTGATATCTTCAAACGGGCGGAGGTCTGGCAAGCCTTTTAATCCACTGTCCATGACAACGCCAAGGTACCGGACGTGGCGAAATTCACCTATTTGAAAATCATTCTCGAGGGTGAGGCTGCGAGAGCCGTAGACGGTATACCAATTACGTCAACAAACTACCCTGTTGCTATTTCTGTTCTGAAGGAGAAATTCGGTCGCCAGGACCTCATAGTCATGAAGTTGTATTCTCAGCTGATGAGCATCGCAGTTCCCATGAACAAGTTTGAAGAACTCAAAGCCACCATTGACTACATGGAACAACTGCTTCGTCAGCTAGAGGCACAAGGAGAAACAGTAAATGCTCAGCGGATGCTCGTCCAACAATTGATGGCGAGGTTTCCGGTGGGATTTCTAACTAACCTCGCAGAACAACGTAACAAACCCTGTGAACCCTGGTCAACCAGTGACCTACGTGCTGCTATGAAGAAGTATCTCGATGTTCATGCTACAGCCCGCAAAATGGCTGACTTCCAGCACGAACATCGACACAACCAGCCATCATCACACCACCCCAGACAACACGCTAGACCATCAGCCAGCTCACTCCAGGTCCTTGCAGCACATCAAAGCCTACCACAACGTGCTAGTAAGCCTCTGTCCTGCAGCTATTGCAGAGGGCCACACTGGAATGATGAATGTGATCGCCATACAACAATGGACAGCAGAAAGGCCCGCCTGGCTGAAGAGAAGAGATGCTTCCGTTGCCTCCGCGTAGGGCACGCAGCCAACAACTGTCTACGCACGAAAGACCGCAAGTGTGTCCACTGTGGTAGGCTTGGCCACAACCGCTCTCTGTGCCCTACTAAGTTTGGCACAATGACCGAGAATCGTCCTTACCAATCCTACAGCACGGCAACAAATGTCGCCACCCATATGGCAAGTGCTACTCAACTTCATCAGCCGCAGTCGGACAGCGGCTCACTCCACTGCAACATCTCCGGCAAGAATGCTCTACTGCAAACTGCTACTACAGCGGTGAGCGGACCCAATGGGGTTGCAACAGTACGTGTCCTTCTCGATAGTGGTAGTCAACGGTCCTTCATCAGACGGAGTGTGGCACAGTCTCTCAACATGCCTGTGGAACATGGCAAAGTCATGCGGCTGTCAACTGTCGCTGCAAACAAGCCCACGGATGTACCGACAGAAGTTGTTTCTGCAAGCATTGCCATTGCTAACAACCAACAGGTGAAGATGTCTCTTCACACTCTACCCAAGGTCACTGACCCATTTGTCCGCAATGCGATTCCATCGGCTGACATATCTTTCCTGCAACTACTGTCATCTGGGTCCTTGGCCGACGTAGTACCAACGGAAGATACACAGGTTTCCATTGACAGTCTTATTGGAGCAGACTACTTCTGGGACTTTGTTCACTCATCCCAGAACAAAGCCGTGTTGCCATCTGGACTGAACCTGATCCCATCTTGCTTCGGCTATCTCCTCACTACCAGCCATCTCACCGAGTCCGTTCAACCCTCTCCTCGACCAACAACTGTCCTCAGTGCGGTCTGCAGCCAGATTCCGGCATCGAACTATGTCACGACGACCAACTGTCAAAAGTCTCAAGGACTTCTGGCTACTCGAGAATATCGGCATGTGGGATTCTCCCTTCACAAATGATGATGATGTAGCGCTGGACCACTTCCAACACACAACAGTGTTCGACCAGGGGCGCTATGCAGTCAAATGGCCTTGGAAATCAGAACTCACAAAGGATACGTTGCCCGACAACTTTGGCCTCGCACGGGGCCGGATGACAACCTTGGCGAAACGCCTGTCCAAAGACCCACCGCTACTGCAACGGTACAACAAAGTCATCCAACAACAACTGGAACGGGACATTATCGAACTCTCACCACTACAGCCTGAAGGCAAGGTGCACTACCTACCACACAATCCTGTCCTCACTGCCGCCAAATCCACAAAGGTACGGCTAGTATACCATGCTTCATCCAAGGCCCGTAAAGGATTGCCTGTTGCCTGACTTGGGTGGTGTCTTGCTCCGGCTTTGCCTCAAACCCGTCGTTTTGTCGGCCGATGTGGAGAAAGCGTTTCTGCAGATTAACCTACAACAAACAGAGCGCGATGTCACTCGTTTCCTGTGGTACAAGGACATGTCCAAGCCAGATGTGATCGAGAACAACCTTGTCACGTACCGCTTCCAACGAGTGCCTTTCGGCATTGTCTCCAGTCCGTTTCTGCTGGCAGAAACTATCCGCCACCGCCTGGCCAATGTCGACACACCAACAGCCCAGAAAATTCAGGATGGCCTGTATGTTGACAACCTGACAACTACCGTTGATTCTGCAGATGACGCATTTGCCTTCTACAAAGAGGCCGAGTCTACCTTCCAACAGTGCAGCATGAACCTACATGACTGGCAATCCAACTCCCAATCGGTCATGGAACAGATTCCAGACAAGGACCAACTTCGGAGCACACCAGCAAGTATTCTTGGCTTGAAATGGGACTCTGCACAGGATGTCCTGTCCATCAACTCCCCAGCTCAGAGTATCAGTGAACCTACCAAGCGCACGGTTTTGCACCGAGTGACCAGCGTCTACAACCCTCTCGGCCTGTGCTCGCCAACAACTCTACAGGGCAAGCAGTTCCTACGACGCCTATGGGATAGTGGATATGCCTGGGACGCACCCCTCCACACTGAGCTGCTTCCTGAATGGTCAAACCTACAATCAATGCTACAACACCTGAGCACTCTGTGTATCCCACGCTTCATCGGCCCAATCACAAAGTCCCAGACGTTAGAACTACACGTGTTTGCTGACGCATCTCAGTACGCTTATGCTGCAGCCGTCTATGTACGCTCCATGCACAATGGTCAACCAGCCCAACTGGCTTATACCCAAGCCACAGCCACTGCCTCAGCATGCCTTCAGAGAGCTGAAGATACCCATGCAGCATCCATCCGTCGAAGGCTCGCAGCGGGTGGTTTATCCAGTCCTGAATGGTGGTCCACTGTCAAGCGTGCCGGTGGGTGTGGGCGTAGCCATGATATCCCTACCCTCAAGGAGGAAAACGGCGAGGAGCTAACCACCTGTAAGGACAAAGCAGAGAGCTTTGCCCGCTACTTTTCAGCGAAATGCAGCCTTGGTGATGACCTTGATGCCAGCAACCTCCCGTATGTACGCCCGCGATCTGATGCTTGTCTGAGTACCATCCACTTTAGGCCACGAACGGTATGCCGTGAACTGAGGAGGATTGTCCCGTCCAAAGCCACTGGCTCGGATCGTGTACCAGGACGAGTGTTGAAGCAGTGCTGTGAGGAACTGTGCAGGCCTGTGGCCCAGCTCTTCAGCAAGGCATCCCGCCAAGGCCGGCAACCGTCACTGTGGAAGCTTGCCTCAGTTGTACCTGTGCACAAGAAGGGTTCGAAGTCCGCAACAAAGAACTACCGACCCATATCCCTGCTACCAATTCTGTCAAAGGTCATGGAAGCTATCATCAATCGTGGCCTTATGGGATTCCTTGAGCGCCAGCACATCCTCACTGCTAACCAGTACGGCTTCCGCTCTGGCCTGGGATTGCAGGACCTCCTTACCATACTACACCATCGTTGGAGTACCGTGGCTGCAGGGGGCGGAGCTGTGCGGGTTGTTGCTGTGGATATTGCTGGAGCGTTTGATTGAGTCTCCCACCCAGGTGTGATCCACAAAGCCCAGCAGTACGGTGTATCTGGCATGCTCCTTGCATGGTTGGGGGACTACCTGCTGGACAGGCGCCTGAGTGTTGTCGTTGGTGGGCAGTCGTCCAGCCCACACCGCATCACAGCCGTGAATTGGGGCACCAGCTGGAGAATTGCGTTCGAGCCAGCCAAGTCCCAGGCCATGACTATTGACCATCACCGCCCCGCCTGGGACTTCCCAGCAGTACAGTTTGCGGGTGTCCCCCTGAATGGAGAGAGTAACCTCAAGCTTCTTGGGGTAACCTTGTACAGCCAACTTTCCCACCGCAACTACCTCCGTACCATCGCCATCAGAGCACGCCAGCGTCTCGGGCTCCTGCGGAAGGCCTCGCCGCTCCTGGATTCTCGCAGCCGAGCTACAGTGTACCGTGGGTTTGTACGCCCAGTAATGGAGTACTGCCCATTAGTCTTGAAGGGCGCAGCAGATTGTCACTTGCAGCGACTTGACCAGACGCAACGCTCAGCCCTCCACTTGATTGGCCCCGGCGCAATGCTGCAAAGCCTGTCTATCCGGCGCATGGTAGCTGCGTGTACCTACATTTACAAGCTACTGTGCTCAAATCCTACCAGCCCACTTCGTCAGCTCTTGCCTCCCTCTCAAGCCCCCCGACCAGCCCATGTTCAACCCACTCGTCTCTCTCTCGTCCGTCTCGACATGCATAACTACCAGCTTGAGACAGGGCTACCTGTCAATAGGCGGGAAAGTTGCAGTAGAGCTTTCCCCGCCTGTGCTGTCCCTGTATGGAATGCCCTGCCACCCGCCGTCCTCAGCCAGCCACCTGACCGGAAACGGCTGCAAAGTTTCAAAATGTCTGTCTTCCGCACCTCCGTGCCCAGCAATGGCACTGGGCCAATGACACCTTGTAAGATGTATGCACATCTGCCCACACACTGCTGCATATTGCCATACGCATCGTGCCCTGCTTACTCTTTTCTCTGGATCTGAATGTGCACCCCTTACGCATTATATAATTATACTTTATTTAGTTCTCTCCCCCTCTCTTGCCCCCAACCCTCCCCGCTCGCTCTCTCTCCCTCCCTCTCTTTCTCTCTCTCTCTCTATCATTTTTTTAATATACTTAATTTAGTTCTCTTATTTCGTTCTCTTGCTCCCCAACCCTCCCCGCTCTCTCTCTCTCTATCTCTCTTTCTCTCTCTCTCTCCTCTCTCTCTCACTCTCTCTCTCTCTCTCCTATCTCTCTCTCCTCTCTATCTCTCTCTCTCTCTCTCTCTCTCTCTCTCTTTCTCTATCTATCTCTATCTCTATCTCTACCTCTATCTCTATCTCTATTTCTATCTCTCTCTGTCTACGTCTCTCTCTCTCTCTCCCTCTCTTTCTCTCTCTGCTATTGGCGCACCTGGTTGTGATGAACCCGAGACCCAAGGTCGGCAGAGTATCCCAGACCATGCCACCACTCCCCTTATTCATGGCTCACACATGGGTTTAAGTTGCTCTAGTAAAAAAAAAAAAATCGCTACCGCCTGGCTCCGAAATCCAAGTCCACGGACACCAACATGACCATCCCACGGCTGGAACTGATGGGCGCTGTCATTGGAGCAAAGACTGCCAAATTTGTCAAGAACGAAATGCAAATCGCCACCACCCGAACTACCCTTTGGTTAGATGCCAAATGCGTCTTGGCATGGATCACGTCTTCGAGGCCACAGCAACGCTTTGTGGAGAACTATGTCAAGCAAATCAAAGAAATCCCTGATCAGCAGTTCCGGTATGTCACCTCGGAGGACAACCCTGCCGACCTCGCCACTCGTGGACTCACCACAGCCGACCCGAACAACAACAGCCTATGGTGACATGGTCCAGACTGGCTCCTACTGCCTGACAAGCACTGGCCCACATACACAATGGACGATACTGCAGAGCCGCAAAGGCCTGATGCCTCGTCTCCAGTGACCTCCGAGGATGCAGCTCCGGAATCAGCACAGACGTCGGCAACCCACTCGTTCGCTACGGTCAACGCAGTACCTACTACCGGGTCATACCGACAGTCCTTGGCTTCATTTTAGACCGCAGCTCAACATTCAACAAAGCACTGAGGGTCACATCCTTAGTGCTCAAATTCATTGCCAAAAAGGTTTGGCAATTCTGAACCTGCTGTTGCGCCATGAGCAGCATCGCTACTCCTACGACGTCTTTCAAGCTGTTCAGCGGGAGGCGCCAATGCCGATTGTGCGACAGCTAGGCATTGCAGTAGCAGCTGACGGTCTTCTCATCTGCCATAGCAGACATGACCCGCTGGACAACACACCTGCTCCACTGCTACATTGTCGCTCAAATCTGAGCAAACTCATAATTGAGCACATTCATCAGCAGTCCCATCATCCTGGAACAGCACAGACTCTGGCCCAACTCACAACAACCATGTGGACTCCCCAAGGCCGAGCCCCCACGAAATCGGCACTGAGGTCTTGTGTCACATGTCACCGGCACAAAGGTCCCAGCTTCTCGAAACCAGCTATGCCACAACCACCGAAGGAACGAGTGCAGCGCTCTGAGTCATTTCAGTTCACAGGCTTGTACATCTTGGGACCCCTCTTGTTCTCAACAGAAGGCAGCCAGCCCAACAAGCTGTGGGTGTGCCTCTTTACATGCCTTTCAACCAGAACTATTCACCTGGAGTGGATGGATGACATGACCACTGATACGTTCCTCGACTGCCTGAGGCGATTCATCAGCCGCAGAGGATGCCCCACGAAGATCCTGAGTGACAACGCCCCTCAGTTCAAGGTTGCCAGCACCATCCTCAACAACCGCTGGGCTAAAATTGTCCGTGACCAGCAAGCTGCAGCATTTAGCCAGCACCACAATGTGCAATGGAAGTTCACAACTGAGTATGCGCCGTGGATGGGAGGTATCTATGAAGGAATGGTTGGTCGGGTCAAGAGGAGCTTGAGGAAGACCATTGGGCGCCAGCTTCTCACCAAGCCGAAACTCATCACCCTTCGGACTGAGATAGAAGCCACCATCAACAGCCGACCACTGACGTATGTTGCAGGAGAAGAAGATTTTCGGCACTATCATCACACCAGCTCATTTCCTGAATGTAAAAGCTCCTTCTACAATGCCAACAGCTGATCCAGATCAAGAGGATCCCTGACCACTGTCGACGTCAGCGCATCTTGAAAGCCAGCTACGACAGCAGGAAGCCCTGCTTGACTAGTTCTGGCAGATATGGGAATCAGAGTACCTGACGTACCTGAGAGAGCGATCACGCCAACACCACCGGACAAGGAATGCGTTACCAAGACAGCCAACACCTGGAGAAGTCGTCACCATCAAGGATGAAAAGAAGAAAAGAGCAACGTGGAAACTGGGAACCGTGACACAATTGATTGCCAGTGCAGATGGATGCATTCGGTCTGTAAAGCTTCGCCTCCCAAACGAAAGAACCCTCACCAGGCCGGTAGTCATGTGTTACCCACTAGAGGTGACACCAACTCAAGACAACCCGCCACCAGTCTAACCACAGGGTGGTCTGAAGTCAACCAACAAAGCCGCAGCACGAATCGGCTCCGAGACTCGTCGACAAGCAGCATACATCGCGCGCTACCGCATTGCTGCACAGCTTGAATGAACACTGTTATCCACCAAGCTTAAGCATCTAGTGTTTGCATGAGCTGTTCCTTTCTTACTTGCATATTTTTTTTCCTTTCTGCTGGGAGTGTCAGTCTGAGTAATGAATATTGTATTTCTGTACTGTGCATACCATGTATTTGTGCCGGTGAATCACTGCGGTTTCACTTGTAAGTTGTGACACGTATTTTACCCGATTTCTTGAACGTGGAAAATATTGCCACATAAGTTTTAGTTCGGGATAGATTTTTTTGAGTGATATTGGAGAAGGAACAGTTTGAACAGATAAATGTTTTGGTTCTTCTTCTTCTTCTTCTTCTTGCCAATCTGAGAGGTAATTCTACTCTTGTTCTCTTTGCCTGGTGATATATCGCGAGGAATAAAAGAATAATTACAAGTCATTTCGCGACAATGACTATACTATAGTCCAATACTCATTTACTCTACATATGCACTGAATTACACCTACCGGTACCTACCTGCACATTCAGTGCGCGCGCCATAATAATTTAGTGTCCACTGGTGCAAAGATGGAGGTTCTTGTAGAATTTCCAATAATTGCTGATTTCAAATTGAATTCAACGGGATCTGGGGGATGAATTCTGATTAGGACACGTTCGATTACCTACTAGTACAGAGATGTCTTGGTCAGAAAGTACTGATATCTTACTCTCCTGCCAGAATTTGTGCAATATTTTGGTGTACGCTTTCTTGACCCCACGCTGGTACGTTGCATGACATGGTATACTAGAGAACGGGTGTATTGACAAAGCCTATCGCGTGAAACGATAAAGTATGGGTTCGGGTGTGATCAAATGCACGCATCGTGCTCATAAACTGTGTGCAGTGCTCTCTTCACCAACAGAACACTACCATACTTTGCAGATCTTGTACCAATCCCAGGGATAATGAAACACAAAATTGATGTGTTTGAGTCACGACACACACACATAGTAGTTATCACATGAAAACATGATTGTGATAACTACTAGCACTATGGTACACCGTTTTTCGTGCCATGCCTGACAACAATAAGTAAGTTACACGCAAAACATTACGCGCATCGACCCTCACAAGGCAAGTCAAGACATACTCGGAGCAAAGAGAATTTGTTCGTGTGATGCATGAAATTTGGTATAACTACCAGTACATTTTTTTCTTGTGCGACGCCTACTGTAGTGCACCTGACAATAATAAATTTTCTCCAAAAAATATTATCGTATCATATTGGTGCGCGATCCTCACAAGGCAAGTCAAGACAAACTAATTGAGGCTTACCTAATTTCAGACTCTTCTGTCACTGGCATTGGCGGCTTCTGCATGTCGAGATAATTTCGAAGAGCAGTGGTGGGTACAGCCTAATGCAAGGTTACGATCTCGTTAACTGCGAAGTCCGCTACGCAAGAAACCTTGGGCCGACAGCGACGGCAGCATCCTACCAGAAAAATAATTCCCGCGGGCTGGGCATGGCTTTGTCCACACTCGCACCAGTCGGAGTCCCAAACGAATCGAGAGTCTGGTGGCCAAGCTACTGGTCTTCTTCTGTCGAACGCAGCTGCTGAGGCATCTTCTTCCTCAACATTTGTAACACGCGATGGCAGCTCTTTAGCAGAGTATCTGGGCTCCCTGCCCCAACCATACGCGGCGGTGGGTTGATGGTGGTCTTCACTGACCTCAGCATCGCTGCCTTCATTGCTGGGTACAAAGAATTGTTCGGAATAGCTCATCTTTCCTTGAAATTGAATACTAAAAGAGTGCACCTAGATTCAGACCATGCCACAATGACGTAGTTAGGCCGGGATGACATAGCCAAATGGCCGCATGACGTCACGGCGCGGCCCCCGTTTTTGCCAATATCTCAAGAACCCTTTGCCGTAGACACTTCGGACCAAGGCCATTCGAGTCAGCACCCGAGACTACAGGATACGAAAGTTTCATTTTCCGTGGAGTTCCCCTTTAAGATAAAACATGTTTGCATGCAATGTTTATGATACGAGTGCGCACTTGATTCTATTCATCGGCATATCATGATTGTTATTTCCACGATGCCAATTTAACTAAAAGTGTGACTTACATTTCTCAAGGCGAGAAGATCTGAACCCGCTCGAAGCAGAAATTCTAGAACCTCCGGCTTGCCGTGTCCACAGGCGTTGTGCAATGGTGTTTCTTGAGCCTGGAGTAGGGAGAGGTGAGAACGTTGAAGATATTTTGTTTTGGGAAAACAACAAGGGAAGGGACAGAGAAACGAACGACTACATGATTGATCACGGCAAAAGAAAGAGAGGGAGAGTGAGAGTGAGCAAGGGAGAGAGCTACAATTTAGATAAAAAGGCCTGAGTGCCTATGACCAATACTGGTGCACAAGCATCTGGTATGCAGGAACTCGTCAAGCTTTGTGTACTGGGTGCAGACAAGCAAGAGAAAGGTTGTGCTAAGAAACAGTATGCAGAAGATGGGGACCTAACAGTTTGTTCAGGTTCTGAACAGAGTACTACTACTAGTAATCAGGAAATGTCATGCGTCAAAAGAGACCATGTCTGAGAGTACCAAAGTATGTGCCCTTCTGGCTTCACCATAGCAGGGAGGTACTGCCATCTGGTGACTCAGCATTTATGGAGGTTCGCGTCCTTGCAATTGAGTCGCATCGGGCCAGGCGGAGGAGGATACGCAAAGCGATAAAAATTCGGGACATGGGCCTGAGAATATAAGCCAACGCAGGATTGAACCTCCTGTAAAGGCATTCCTGATACAAATTACTGGCCCAGTACTTGCTTCTCTCGGATAGTGAATTATTTGTCTACTTCCATAAACTGCTGTTGCCAGCACCCGCAATTATGTGCACATGTACATATTTATAAAAAGTAAAAAGGACCAAGAAACTACAAGTTACCCTATAATGCCCACTAACACAATCAGTTACTAAACAATCAGCTCATGCGATAACATTACTAGCCAGTTAGTTGTAGAACGTCAGTGCCGGCGGTCAGTGTCGTGCAATGTTATCACATGAGCTGATTGTTTAGTAACTGGTGGTGCTGGTGGACATTATAGTGTAACTTGTAGTGTCTTGGCCCTTTTTGCTTTGCATAAAATTTATTATTTAATAATCCTTGGCTCTCCATCCGAGTTCATAGATGTACATAATACACGCACATGTTCTGCTTGGTGCATGTGGAATGTTTTACAGTTGTCACGTATCATGCTTTTGCTGTAGCAGTTTTGTGTTTGTTTCTGATGTTTCCTCAACCTCTTTTCTCTCTCTCCACAGTTCATGCATGTATGAATATTATCTCCCCACAGCACTGTTCATTATCAAACCTTTCCCAGTGGTGACCATGCCCATATTCATTCTTGATGTCCTTGTTGCTATTATCATTTCTGATGATGGGTATTTTATGACCGAAACAATTACCGTATTTTTCCGGTTGTAAGTCGACCTTTTACGACTTAAAATAGAAGGAGAAAGGGTGGGGGTCGACTTACAACCGGGATTCGACTTATAACCGGTAACTATCAGAATCTTCAAAAAAAATGACGTGCACTGCATGCACGAGTGTACCATGTTTACACATTTTGCCAGTTTATTGGCCTTTTTCAAGGATTGGGAAGTTATATCCTCCAATAAGGAATGTTTACATGATTTGTTAATGTGTTAGTAGCAGGAGGTGGTTAGTAGTGCTTCTTTGGGTGAACACTTTTTAAAAAACTTTTTAAATATTTTCCTGATATGATTGTGCGTGAGTCTGTGTTGCTCACAATCCACTTTCACGGAGCAGTGCCTACATCCTGGAGGTTCACTGGCCACCTTCGCCGATGATACAACGGTCTACACCTGTGTTGGATCACCCGAAATGCTCCCAAACAGTAAGAAAAGCTTACAAGCTACCCTGGATGCGCTCAATGACTGGGGCAAGAAGTGCCGGATCAGGTTTGATCCCACAAAGTCACAGCTCATGACGATAGCCCATCAGCGGCACAGGTGGCCTATCATTGAACTCACGTTTGGAGATCACACTGTGTCTGAGCTATTGGAAGTAAACCTCGGCATCACATTTTGACTCGGGCCTCTCCTTCAAGACCCACCTCCACGACACAGCACTCAAAGCGAATTCTCGCCTGGGCTTCCTGCGCAAAGCTGCTCGCGTACTCGATGGTGCTGGTAAACAAACCATCTGCAGAGGCCAGTCCTAGAGTATGCGCCATTGGTATGGATGGGAGCCGCTTCAGGCCATCTGCGCCTTCTCGATCGAGTGCAGAGACGCGCCCTCCACATTCTTGGCCCTGATGTCCTCCTCCAGAGTTTGGCAGCAAGGAGATTGGTCACCACCCTCAGCTATATGTACAAACTGATGTGTCTGGCAGGGCCACCGCAAATAACGTGGCTGGTCCCCCCCCCTCCCCCACCCCCCCCCCCCCCCCCACAGCTTTCTCCACCAACATGTCCTCAAACTTGATCCGATCACTCGGTGCGCCACAAGTCTCAGCTACAGAACGTCCTCCCGGCTTTCTCTCCTGATTACGTGCGACGCTGCTTCCCCCACAGCATCATTGATGAGTGGAACAACTTGCCCCCAAATGTGCTGCAGTCCCTGCTACGCCTGACGGCCCTCCAGTCGTTCAAGGGCAAGGTGCATCAGCACCTAAGACAAAGCCGCTGGTATTGGGCTACATACTCATTGTAACACCCCATACTACATACTCGCTGTAACACCCCATACTACATACTCGCTGTAACACCCCATATATCCACAATAAGCTCATCCCGCTCACTTGTCTATTTACATGTGTTTCGTAATCCCGTCCATGGTGCGCTGGATAGCGCTAACGCCGAGACCCTAGGCCGGCGTTGCTAGTCCCGCCTCACCGGCACAGGCTCCCTCTAAGACCCTACTAGTACATTGTCTGTCTTTCCCCTCGGCTGCAGGCAGTAATGCGCGATTGAGGCCTTCCTCCAAGGCCTCTGTCGTCTTCAACATTGCGCCGTCAGTTTCTTCTGCCGCTGCCTTGAGTGTGGCCCCCGATGTACTTGCTTCGGCTGTTTCTCAGGCAGTCGGCCAGGTCCTCCAGCCCCTGATGGAGCGAGTAGAGCAGTTGAAATATGCTGCAGCCGTCGTGCCGCCTGTCAACTCAAGCTCTGTTCATGCATTGGGCCATCTGCCGGCTGCTCATCCGTCACTCTCTGTACCTGATAACCTTTGCGGGCGAATTGAACGCGGCGAGCTTATTGATTTCGAGGACCTCCTCCCGGACGATTCATCTTCAACTGGCTGGCAACGGCTATCAACTGGGTCCTTGTCCATGTCGGCTCCTTGCCCGACGTAATGCATTACCTCGATGACTTCCTCGACATCTGCCTACCAAGCTCCTCCCTGGTGGCCAAGCACAAGGCCATCATCTTGGACTTGTTCCAGTTCGTGAACGTACCTGTCGCCACAGAGAAAGTTGAGGGCCCTTCCACTGTCCTCACCTTCCTCGGTTTGGAGCTGGACACCGATCGCTTGGAAGTGCGTCTGCCTCGGTCCAAGCTTCTGGCCCTACGTCGTTTAGTCTCTACCACCCTCGACAAGGGTTGCATTCTCAAACGCGAACACGCCTCACTCCTGGGCCACCTCTCGTTCACTTCCGGAGCAATTCCTGCCGCCCGTGCATTCTTACGCCGCTTGTAAGACCTTGACAAAGCCACATCTGAGATGTCATCTCACCGAATGCTGCGCCTCTCAGCCTCAGCCAAGGGTGACCTGAGCTGGTGGCACCTGACTCTGGCAACATGGAACGGAAAGTCATTGTTACTGCTAGAGAAGTGGATGACCTCCAGTTGCAAACCGACGCAAGTGGCACCATTGGATTTGGAGCCTTCTTCAATGGTCGCTGGTTCAGAGGTGACTGGTCTTCGCAGCAACTGGAACTAAGCATTACCTACAAGGAGCTCTTCGCCATTGTCGCGGCCTGCGCAACATGGGGGATCGAGTGGCTGCGGCTGCGTGTGGAGTTTCAGTGCGGCAACCAAGCTGCCGTGGAGTGCCTGAAGACGGGCACGAGCCGGTCTCCTGCAGTCGTGGCACTCATCCGCACCCTGTACTCAATTTGTGTGATGCACAATTTCCTAGTCCGAGCATCGCTCCTGCCAGGCATGTCCAATACCATCGCTGATGCCCTGTCCCGGAACAAGATGGATGCCTTCAGGACCTTTGCTCCCACAGCTGCAGAGCGGCCTGACACCCTGGTCCAGCCAATCACTGAGTAAGTGCAAAGAGATTCAATTCAAGATTCAATAGGATGCAGATAGCGTTCTCTGTCGATCCTACTCCACAATATCAGTCTGACTTTATGCCTCTAGAACAACGCTCTTGTGCAATACATACTTACCATCTATATGTGCTGTTATCACCCGCTATCTCCTCTGGCCCTAATGGGAATGTCGGCATGGGCACTCCTCCTTAACTGGCCTCTCACGCACCTCTATTAAACTCGCATGGATCATAAACCGCTCCTGCTCAACGCAGGCCGACCCACCAACTCGCATGGGTCACAAACCGCTCCTGCTCAGTGCAGGCCGACCCACTTGGTCATATAGAGCTCCTGCCCTCGGTAGGCCGACCACATGATTCGTTAACGCGCACTCAATTGAGCTACTCTGCCCGACATTCCCATTCTTCCAAACTCACTCTCTTGTCTTTCGGTGTGTCGCGTCCTGCACGCTTGTGTGTCTACTCTATACTCTAGCATAGGGAGTAGAATGTTGAATGTTCGGTTGACGTAGGAGTTACCCGTTGTTAACAGTCATGTACCATTGCTTCGCTGTTGGCCTTTATAACGAGTTGCATGACCCTCCTTACGTGTGTGCACGATCTTGCTCTCTCTAGATACTGCTGTGTATCATAGACATTACATGCCCACGCTCTGCGCATGAGCAGATTTCCTGTGCACACAACAGAGCTTGCTGTCTTTCCAGTTTCCTTGCCTGCAGTCAGCTTTCAAATTCTCACCCACCATCCTCATAGCATTTCTTACTCTTACACTATTATTATTATTATGAACAGTTTCGCGTACTTGAGGACCAGCCTCTTTCCGCCTCTGTGTTCCTGAGCAATAGAAGGAGAGAGACAAAACTATACTCTTATGATGATGACAAGGGAAGACATGGACTGCAAGGTACGGTTTACAAATCGACAA